TTTTTCGGTATAAAACGGAAAAATTGGGAAATTTTTAGAAAAATTGATTTTTTTATTTTTTAAATTTTATAACACGAAAAAATGCAAGTTAATTTTTCTGAAAATTTACAAATTTTTACAGATAATATCCGTACTCCTTTTATTTTAATTTAGTAAGAGTATTCTACCGGGCCGCAAAAAAAACATATTATGAAATTATAATTTTCTAATTTAACTTTATGAATAGTGATGCCGCGAGACGAGACGAGACGAGAAAAGTCCTTCTCTCGTCTCGTCTCGTGCAGCGAGAGAAAATGGGTCTCTCGTCTCGTCGAGAATACTCTTTTCTCGCTCGAGAGTGCCTTTCTCTCGTCTCGTCTCGTTTCTCTCGTGGTAAAAGTACCTAAGTATGAATACAAAACTTATTTGGAATGAAATACGAATTCGTTTATATTTTTTTATATAGAAATTTAAACTGGAAATAAAAAAAATGTGTGCCAAGACCACACTAATAAAGTAGGACTTTTTACGCCGAAAATGTTGCGCATTTGAATCAAATGGTTCGATGTAGTTACATCTAGTATTATACACATCTAGTATTATACACCTATAATACTGCCGTGCTTAATGAAAACGCCGTATCCAACAATTGTGCGATTTTTGTTTTACGGCATTTTCTACTAGAAAAACTCATCCTGCGTCTATCCCCGGTACTCAAAAAACCGTATCTATATATATACGGTTTTTTGAGTAAAGGGGATAGACGCAGGATGAATTGTTCTAGTAGAAAATGCCGAAAAACAAAAATCGCACAATTGTTGGTTACGGCGTTTTCATTAAGCACGGCAGAATAGGTGTTGCATTTAACTTGAGACAGCTCAATATCTCGTGAAATACGCATTTCACAGAAAAATGTCTTAAATAAAAGGTTAATGTAACCAAAGGGGACATTATTTGGTGCTACCGCTAGCCACCCCCTACCCCTCCTTAAGGGTGAAACGGGGGGTAAGTTTAGAAAGTCAAATGGAATGACCCGATTTTTTCACAGATTTTGGTAGTACATAAAAAAATGAATAACTTTTATTTGAAACTTTTTTTCAATTTATCAACAGATGGCGCTGTAATTCAAAATTTAAGAAAATTGGGTTTCCTTGTAAAATGTATTATTTGAAACGTTTGAAAAACAAAAATTAACATTAAATCAACAATAGTCGGCTCTGAAAACAATTTATAACAAATTTTTAAAATGTCATCCTTTCATTTTTTTATGTACTACCAAAATCTGTAAAAAAGGGGTTATCCCATTTGACTCTCCAAAGTTACCCCCCGTTTCACCCTTAAGGAGGGGTAGGGAGTGGCTAGCGGTAGCACCAAATAATGTCTCCTTTGGTCACATTAACCTTTTATTTAAAACATTTTTTCGTGAAATGCGTATTTCTCGAGATATTGAGCTGTCTCAAGTTAAAAGAAACAGCCTGTATCGGCGCAGTAGTTTTCAATGGATCAAATCATTTGATCCATCCATCTGAAAACTACTGCGCATATATGATGTAACTACTCCACATAGATCCAACCATCTTGTACCTACTGCGCATGTCCGTCATTTTGAATCCGCAATTTTGTTTTTTTTAATGGATATCAAATTCTGAATCAGGGACCCCATAAATATCTGAATACTAAATTTTACCCAAACCATTAAAGCCGAACGACGAATTTTCGTCATATTGGATCAGCCATTTTATTTAAAAAAAAAATGGATATCAAATTTGTAATCAGGCCCTCAAAACCACATGTTGTTGATAAGGTTATTAAATAAGCAATGCTTATTAAGCATACGGGTTTTTTTAAATAGTATAAGGAGTGCCATAGATGTGCTTATACAGGGTAAATTTTAAAAATTAATATTTTATAAGTAATTTTTTCTTGGTTAACGTTAAGTTGTGTTATAAAATAATACAACGTTAACCAGGAACAAATTTTGTTTATTATGAAATGCAAATAATGTTCTCATTGGTCCAAATAAATATCGTCATTTATGTGCAAAATTATAATTTTTATGTAAAAAAAAATTGTTTTTTATAATCTAGAGAACGAGAGAGATCGAGAGAAACGAGAAATTCTCGAGCGAGAGAGGGCATTCTCTCGTCTCGTCTCGAGCCTTTTTTCGAGAGAAAATCGCTCTCGACGAGACGAGAGGCGAGAATCTCTCGTATCGGCGGCATCACTATTTATGAAACAATCATTATTTTGTAGTTTGATATTTTTAATAGACTCCTTTTTGCCAAAAAAAACAACCGATAGTATTTTTGACGTTTATTTTCTTAAATCAATTTAATTTAATTCAATGTTTAGTTTTATTTTTTGTGTAATAAAGGATTTTTTTTTAATTAAAATAATGTTAAGTTGTTAATAATTTAATTTATATTATGAGCAGAGACAATATTGTGTGTATTATTATATATGCATTACCTAATGCAATGAAATTATCAAATCGGCACCATCTTATAAGTCACGCCATATGATCCTTATGTTGTTCTTTTCTATTTCACCAAGCGCTGATATGTCTACCTCTTTTCAATTCTTAAATACTCGTAACTAAATGCAGATTTCAGACATCCGATGCCATTTTTGCTTCTTGTAAGTATGTTGAATTTGTGTGAATGCTATTACAGTAATAATTACTAATCGTGGCGGTTTTTCTTTTTTATGTTCCCTTTCGACGTTCAATAACTCAGGTTACAAGTCAAAGTAGTGTGCAGTGTTGGTTTTCGATTTTTTTGTGAACTTGATGTCGTTTTTGTGGTGTTTTCCGAGAAAATAATTGATGGCCCGAGGGATACCCTGGTCTCTAACCCTGATACCCATCTCACACTCAAGGAGGGCTTCAGACAGAAGCGTTCTACGTGTCAAGAAGTTTTGCCTCTATTGATTTGAATTAATAGGCAGAAATAAATATGTAAATGTTAATAATGTTAATTTTAAATAGAACTATACGTTATTTTTAGATTATTAGCTACATTTTAATTACTTAATACCTTTAAAACGTTTTGACGATGTAGCATTGCATAACCAAGACGTTTTAAATTGGTAGTCTTTAACATCTTAAAGACGTCTTAACGACGTTTAGCAACGACATCTTAAAGACGATGTGTGTCATAAACGTCCGAGTCCGAGATTTTTAAGATGTCTCTGTGCTATCTGGGAATCGGTTCCTTTCCCCCCCTTTTTTAAAGTAACATTGTTACATAACAATGTTACATTGTCGTTACATAAATGCATTCCCAGATAACATTATGAGGTTCATAATTGACGCATATTGCGGTCACAACGTGATTGTAATCCGCACTATGCACGCATATGTGCATCATTTGCGTCATCAATTGAGTTTCATGTAGCCAGCACATGTGATGGTTAAATAAATTTTTCCGGGCATGATTAACAGGTAAATTTTGGACTTGCATTGCCTCAATTTGATTGTTTTTCTTACGTTTTAATTAGTAATTATCTTTAATTGTCTTCAGTTATTACCTGAAGACCATTAGAAATAATTACTAATCGAAACGTTGTAAGAAAAACAATCAAATTTAGACAATGCAAGTCCAAAACTTAGCTGTTAATTATTCATAAAATTGATTTATTGCGAAATTTTGGTCAATAAGTAATAATCCAAAAGATATTTTTCTTTAAGTCATTTATTTTAGTTTTTGTGACAATTGTCTACATTTATAGAAGATATCTTATTTTAAATAAAATTAGGTATCTTTTTACAAATTCATAAATCAATTCATGATAAATTAATTTATAAACGTGATCTTAAGATCAACGTGTTAACTCGTTGATCTTAAGATCAATTCCATATTTGAATTCCAAATAAATTTATGTACATTTTTTATACAAATGTAGTCTACTAATTTGGTCTTTACAAATCGAGTCTTTTCACAAATTAACCATTTGGTGTAAGTCAATTTTTTGAAAATTTTAGTTATAATATGAAGTAAAATCAACAATTTTCGCAAGATGTAGTGTAAATCTAGTATTACATCTACAATTTTGCGATAACTATTTAGCAAAAGTGAAGAGTTTGCAATCATTTCGTGCCCTCATATACCAATCACGTGCCTGTATTCCCATTAATCATAAAATGAATACCATATCGCAGCTTTTTACCGCTACGCATGATTCCGCACGACGTGAAGACGATATGCGTTTTGATGCCCCTCATGGTTGTTATCTGGGCAGTGACAAGTCAGAATGATTTTACTTGGATTGTTTTCATTTAATAACTAATTTTAAACACCATGTAGAGCTGAAATTACAAATACTTTTAAAAACGTCCAGTAGTATTGAATTCATAATTTTGATTTTAGGTTATACAGGATGTTTAAAATTAATTGTTAAATATTTAGTAAAACATCAAATCAAGAAATAAATGTCATTAAATCTTTTCCTGAAACAAAAAAGATTTTAAGTTAATAATTTTGCCTTTTGTAGGTACGGTTAAATGGGCTCTAAAATGAAAAAAATAAATGGCATTGATATCAACAAAAATATAGAACTAAAATTTCGCCCACCGGTTTAAGTTAAGAAATAAAATGTTTGTTGAATAATAAATAGTATATTGAGTGGGAGAAAGAGGAGATTCCTCGGGCGTCAGGTTTGCCGCACAAACGTAGGGAGTGCGGTAACATGCAAGTGGAATCTTCTCTTTTGACCAATTGTCGCACACAATATTTTATTTATCTACCTACCACAAAGAATTTAAGTCCAATTTTATTTCATATTTTATCTGAAATCTGACAGCTCACAAGCAACTTTAATCTCACTTTTTCCAATTTTAATTTAAAGATAACTTCAGCCCGTGGGCGAAATGCTATTTCGTTCGGTTAAAGATAAGAAATGGGTGGAATAAAATACCTACATTGTTATTCACGGGTAGTGATTATCATTGAAACAATTTATTAAGTATACGATTATTCAAGTTTATTTTATACAAGGTGAATGTTCTTTTTGCTCTGAATTACCAATGGGTACGACTGCCCTAACTGGCCATCCAGTACCAATATGATTATTTTCAGTTGTGTACATTCCAGGGGCAGGTATGGTCTGCCATGGTCCAGCTTTTTGCATGGTCACATCAAATTTAACAGGGTTGTTTTTACAGTTGATGTAGGGAAATAATTCTGAAGAGTTTTGTTCTATGTAGGAATTCCTGTATGTAGAGCTCATTCCCCTAAAATAATAATTAGCTATACAAGGTCAAAAAGTGACTTATGACAGTACAAAGTTCGAGCTAGAAATCCAAGAGGAGGCGAAGGAGTTTTAAATCACTATTACATTTTTTGGACACCCTGTATATATAATATATATATATATATATACAGGGTGTCCAAAAAATTTATTAGTGAATCAACTATTTTTTTTTTTGAAAAGTATATCGAAAATATGGTTTGGGGCGACAAAAAAAATTATTGTGAAAGTTTGAGTCCATAATATTAATATTAAGAGGTCTATCATCGCAATTTTAATTTTTTTTCCCTCATCAAGTTTTTGTCTCAGAACTCCCAAACCATTGAGTTTAACAAAATTTACTTAAAAATAATTTTTTAAGAAAATTAAATGCTCTACAAAAAAGGTTAAATGAAATTTTTCGTCAGATGAACCGTTTCCTTAAAATCATGCCCTAAACATTGGTATACTTTTACATTTTGATCTTTTAACTTTGGAATTTTAAAATTCATGTAAAAATCAGTACCCATAAAAAAACGATAAATATTCTTATGTGAAATCAAATGCTTTACAAAAAAATCCTCTTAACATTTTTGGCTAAATTCACTCAATCAAAAGTTATTCAAAAGTCAAAACGAAATTCTTGTCAAATTTAACCTTGAATTGATGGAGTGAATTTAGCCAAAAACGTTAAGAGGCTTTTTTGTAAAGCATTTGATTTCACATAAGAATATTTATCGGTTTTTTATGGGTACTGATTTTTACATGAATTTTAAAATTCCAAAGTTAAAAGATCAAAATGTACCTAAAACTATACCAATGTATATATATATATATATACAGGGTGTTATGTAATTAATGTTATATATTAAAATATTGAATACCTTTTGACATAAGGAGTAAAGGAAAAATATTTAAAAAAAATATTTTTCCAAAGATAAAGAAAAAATATGCATTAGAAGTTTTATTGGTTTATCTCTGCACACTTGTGTTCTGTGAGTACATAGATACCAACCAACAAAGTAGCTGCGCGTTGCCAGATGTAAAAAATTGTTACTAAAAATTTTTCAGGCAATAAAAACTCAATAAATACAAAAGTTTTATGCCCTTAATTAAGGGCATAAAACTTTTGTATTTATTGAGTTTTTATTGCGAGAAAAATTTTTAGTAACAATTTTTTACATCTGGCTCTAATACCCTTCTGTATTTATTTACTCATCCAGCTATTAGCTTAAGCAATGATTAGAAAAATTAGTATCTATTTAAAAAAATCTATAACCACAAAGTTAATTTTTTCCACGGTTTTTTTCTTTCGGTTTAATCAGATGAAATTTGGGACCAGTTCACAGGTTAAACTTTAAACATTTAATTTGTGTAAATAAATCCAAAATCCAAATTTAAATAAAAGTTGGCAGATTTTGTTTGAATTTACCTTTAGTACAAAAATGACATAACCAACAATTAATAAAAACGCCAAATTAACAATTTGCATTGTTAATTTTGTTATTTTTGTAATTAAGCTAAATTTAAACAATGTTTGTCAACTTTTTTGACAGAATTTGGAAACGCTGTTGTTACCAACCAGGTTTACCAACCATAACATAATAAATTAAATTAGGCAACCAGATTAGCCTAAAGTTCCTAGTCGATCAGTGGCGTACTTTTTGGTAGGATAAAGGTTATTATAAATTATTTTTAGTCTTTGGAATTTAGAAAAAAAAAGTTTTAGGTGCTTCTTTATGGACCATAAGGAACAACCCATTTTAATATATAACATTAATTACATAACAACCTGTATATATATATATATATATATATATATATATATATATAAAGGGTGTCCCAACAAGAGCGCAGGATTTAAATTTGCCGCCATTTTGTTTTACGAGTTGTACGCTGTGCACACTGTGGGGAAATTTTCAACTTTTGAAATATCACAGCTAAACGCTCGTACACGTAAACATAATTTTTGGTCGTAGATTCCAAATCTGTGCTCGGTTTAGCTGTATCAGGTCTAAAAAGTTTTTCCTGTCGGAAATCCGATCCGGGGACCACGTTGGTACATTTGGCGATTTCAACTTAAAAAATATATAATCTTCCAAACATTTTTTTTTAAATAGTGATATTATTAGCTTTACTTTGTAAGAAAAATTAAAATCGCGTATGTAGCCGTTTTGGAGATATACACTTAAATGTATTTTTTTTATAAATTAATGCGCAACAATAAGCTTAACATGTGTTCTAGTGAAAATGACCACAGCAATTCGCTATATATATATATATATATACAATCTCATGTACCATCTTCAGGTCTTATCTGCTGGGCTGCTGTTGCTGCTCTGCTGCAAGTTCATACATATAACGCCAATGGAAATCTAAAGCAGCAGAACAACAACAGCAGCCCAGCAGATGAGAGGGTACATGAGATTGTACCGAAACGTCGTCGGACATACGTTTCTTTTAAGAACCATAAACCGACAACACAGATCAGATGCCGGAAAACCATCAATACATATAACGCCCGTGAAAACCTAAAGCAGAACATTGATATCGTTAATTTGCGTGGCGTTTTGGTGGTTGTAAGAGGTGGTTTTTATGCAGTTGGTAGTCTCTGTGTATCGTCTCTTGTGCTTAGGTTTCTTGGTCCTGTGTTCGATGCTAGCCAAGACCCTTGTTTTTTCAAGTCAATTTCATGGGAAGTTTTTCGGACGTGTTCAGCTAAGAAAGATGTTTTAAGACTGCGTTTCGATGTTCTTCACGTCTAACGTTGATACGTCTATTGGTCTGTCCAACGTAGCTTCCGTCACAATTATTACAAGTAGTTTCGTACACCCCTTGTGCCTCTAACTCTATTTTGGTTTGGCGTTTGGAAGTATTTGGCCGATCTTTCTTGTGGCGGTAAATGTTATGTTTTTTGAGAACTTTGCCTATTCTCTCGGTTGTCCCTTTCACGTAGGGAAGGAAGGCCTTCGAAGTTGGTTTGTTGTTCTCGTCCTCTGTGGTATTTAACTGGCGTCGTGGTCTAAGAGCCTTTTTGATGATGGTTTTGGAGAATCCGTTTTGCTGTAGCGTCGTTTGGAATTTCAGGTCTTCTTGTTTCTTGTGGTCATCATCCGCCAGCCTTTCGCGTGACAAGTGTCTTAATGATTGACTGCAGTTGTGACGGGTGGTGGTGAGACTGGGCGTGTGCCATTATTTATCTTGATTATGAAGACATCCAGAAAAGGTAATTGGTGTTCTTTCTCGGTTTCCATTGTGAACTTAATCTTTTTGGGAATTCTGGTCCAGGAATTTCTTCAGTTTCTCTTCTCCGTGGGTCCAGATGACAAATGTGTCTTTTACGTACCGTAGCCATAACTTTGATTTTAGTGTTGCCGTTTCGATTGCTCGTACTTCTATGTCTTCCATGAATAGGTTGGCTATTGCTGGCGATATTGGAAAATTGACTTTGAAAAAACAAGGGTCTTGGCTAGCATCGAATACAGAACCAAACGTACCATTCGTGAAGCCATTGAAATAGGAAAATGTCCAAAAAACCTCAATAAAAGAGGCGATACACAGAGACTAAGCTTAATGTTGCAAATTAATTTATAAAAAAATACATTTAAGTGTATATCTTCACAACGGCTACATACGCAATTTTAATTTTTCTTGCAAAGTAAAGCTAATAATATCACTATTTAAAAAAAAATTATATATTTTTTAAGTTGAAAACGCTAAATGTACCAACGTGGGACACACTGTATGCTGGTATATTATAATTTGTAAAATAATATATTTTACCTCTTGCACCAACATTCTTATGCTTTTTATTTCAATTAATATAATATCCTCAATTATACTCAATAAAAAAAATTAACAAAAAAACATTTTGAATTTCCTAAATTATTTATAAAAAACCCTCAGGGACACGTGTTCCTTTTGATCAATTAACTTCAAATTTTGCAAAAATTTGTTTTTTTTTTAATTTGGAACTAATGTGTGGGTCCAGACAAATTGATTTTTTTTAAATTTATACAGGGTGTTTAAATTTATATAGGGTGTTTCCAATATCTTTAAATTTTGAGCTGATACAGCTAAACCATGGTTCTACGACCATAAATTAGGTTTACGTGTCCGAGCGTTTAGCTGTGTTAGGTTCACCTTCCTACAGTGTTATTTTTCGACAGTTGTCACGTACAGACCACGCGATTTAAGAACATGGAGAAATATTCAAACAAACAATGTTTAATTATTGTAAAAAGACGTTACAAAAATGGTAAAAGTTTTTCGAAAACAGTTTTTCGGTCGCAATTATGCGTCAAATGAATCGACAGTGAGGCGTTTAATTACAAAATTTGAGACCAAATTTACTCCGATGGATCAGAAGACCATTGTTCGTTGTCGTCCTTGTCGGTCACTCGAAAATATAGCCACAGTAAGAGAATCCAGGAACTTCCATTCGGCATCGTGGTCAAGAATTAAACATTGTTAGCGGAATTTTTGTGGCCCGAATTGGATGTAATTGATTTGGAGGACATATTTTTCCAATAAGACAGTGGGACCTGCCACACAGCACGTGAAACAATGGAGTTTTTACAGATCAAGTTCAGGTCGTGTTATTTCTCGATTTGGTAATCAACATTGTCCACCAAGATCGTGCGATCTAGCGCCGATGGACTTTTTTCTTTAGGGCTAAGTGAAGGAAAAGGTGTATGCGAATAAGCCTTGAACTGTTAAACATCTTAAAGAGGAAATACAGCGCGTTATTGGTGAAATACAGCCACATTTATGCCAAAACGTTATTCAAAATTTCAACAAAAGAATAACCCTGTGGCAGGGGTTTCGTGGTGGCCATTTGCCTGATGTTGTATTTCACGTTTAATCGGAACTATTTTTCTTTATATTAAAATGTAGGCTTAATTCAAAAAATAAATGTGTTTTTCTTTAAAATTAAATCCCGCGCTCTTGTTGAGACACCCTTTATATATGGCGATAAGTAATATACATAGGTATTTAAATAATAAACTTTCGGTGGCTTGTGTTATAAATTAATGTTAATAGTATAAATAATTTATATTATATGTAATTAGGTGCAGATTAAGATATTATTACATGCTAAATGTATAAATATAGAGTACAGTAAAAAGTATGAGAATATGTATCTACATCTACAGGGGGAGGAATGTATGTTATTAATAATCGCGAATAAAATTTATAAAAATTGGCAATCCTGATAAAAAATTTAAAATTTAAAAATCATTTTCATGTAAGCAGGTGCCCCAGAGTTTGTCACAAACGCAAATATATATTCATTTTAAAAATGTGCCTATTTTTTTTATTATCTTGATTACCATTCGTTGAAATTATTTATAACAAAAATAACTAAATAAATATTTTATAGTTTATATACAGTGTGGCCCACTTAAGATGGAAACACCCCCGTAACTTTTTTATTTGTAACCCGATTTTATTGAACAAAGGCTCAAAAGATAGAGCATAAAAAACTCTATTAGAGCTGTTAAAGTTGTTTTCAAAGTCACCCGACACATGCCTACTATAATTTTTTTCTGTGTCAAAATTAAAAAAAAACATTTAGGGTAATTTTTACGAAAAAAATAACTACACCACTGAATTTGGCATGCTTAAAAATGGGTAAATAACAAATTTCATTAAAAACAATCGATTGATAATTATTTTACAACGGTTTATTTATTGATTTTTTAAATGTTTATAACGACAATAGAAACACATATAAAAGGTTTAGGAAATAATAGGTACGCCACCGAGTTTGGCAGGCTTTAAAATGGGTATATACCAAATTTCATCAAAAATAAACAATTAATAACTATTTTGGGCAAGTTTATTTTTTACGTTATAATCATTAATAATTAATTATTGCTACAAAACAAAAACTAAGATAGCTATGCTTACAACTTCAAACAAACGTCAAACCAAAAACAGGCGATTTGACAGAAAATAGTAGCGTCCTTTTTGTGTATTTTTTAACAGTTTATTTAAAAGTTCTTATCTACAATCATTATGGCCCATCAGTTTTTAGAGCACAAAGTTGAAATAATTTCGGTATCTCCTACTAAACGGACAATTATTGTCCGTTTAGTAGGAGATAACGATCGTTCAGCGAGAGAAGCAGAGAATTTAATAATAGGCAACCTGAAAGGCAGCCTATAAGCAGTAGTACTTTTTTAAAATCAATAAGCTATTTAATGAAACTGGTATGGTTTTAAAGAATTTAAGAAATAATAATCCACGTCAACAGCAAAGACAAAATGATCAAATAATTCTGAATTATTTTAATGACAATCTTCAGATAATAATAAGTTTAAGAAAAGCGAGCTTAGATTTAAATATTTTAAAGAAATTCTTAAGAAGATGTTTAAAAATTAGTAAAGTAAAACCAAAATTTTTACACACCCAACAGCCAGGAGATAAATTCATGTTTAAAAATCAAATTTCAAAGTGGGACTTTATGGTGTTAACGGTAGTATATACCAAATTTCATGAAAAATAATTATATAATATTAGTCATAAATTGCTACAAAGCAAAAACTAAGATAGCAATGCTAGTAACTTCAAACAAACTTCCAATAAAACTCAGTTTATGAGGTTGTTACCTAAGTTTATTAATTTTTTTAAACAATATTTTATAACGAGCAATAGAACATAAAAAAGAAAACTAAACCCGGGAAGCTTCCACTAGTCCACCATTTAATTCAATACACTTATTAAATCTACGTAAAATATTCTTTTGGACTCTTCTCAATTGCTGTGGAGTTATTTCCTCACAGGCGTTGCGTATGCCGGCTTCAAGATCTGCAATGTTCTGAGGAAGTAATTTATAAACTTTGTTTTTTATGGTACCCCATAAAAAAAATCTAAAGGAGTGAGATCGGGAGACCTAGGAGGCCATTCGATTAATGGGCTATTGCGACCTATCCATTTATTTTCAAAATTTAAATTTAACCATTGCCTCACATTAACTGAATTATGAATCGGACAGCCGTCTAATTAAATATAAAGGTTTCTATGATAATTAAGGGGTAAATTGTCCAAAGCATTTGTAACTTCTTCCTGAAGAAATTCTAAAAAACTTTGACCATTTAGATTTCCATTTAAAAAGAAAGGTCCTATGACCCTATCTTTTAGAATACCGCACCACGCGTTTACTTTTTGTGAGTACTAAACCGTTGTAAAATAATTATCAATTGTTTTTAATGAAATTTGGTATTTACTTATTTTTAAGCATTCAGTGGCGTACTTATTTTTTTCGTAAAAATTACCCTAAATGTTTTTTTTTAATTTTGACACAGAAAAAAAATTATAGTTGGCATGTGTCGGGTGACTTTGAAAACAACTTTAACAGCTCTAATAGAGTTTTTTATTCTCTAGCTTTTGAGCCTTTATTCAATAAAATCGGGTTACAAATAAAAAAGTTACGGGGGTGTTTCCATCTTAAGTGGATAAGTGTATATATATATATATTAGGGTGGTCCAGAAACGAATTAAAAAAGTAAAGTTGTAAATAGACTTATTCTCACCCTCTAATTTTTTTATATAAAGTAAAAAAAGTTATTTTGGAAAATTTGAACCCTCTACCTTAATTAGAAGGGAGTGCTCACAGCTATGATAGAATTAATCTGAAGACAATATGATGATTTTCATGTGGATATATCCACATGAAAATCATGGTCCAGAACTCTTAGTAGCATAAATTGCAGCTTTTTTTGTGGTTTCTGTCGGAACAGATTTCCGATTCGCTTCTACGATTTGTAACAAGTCTTGCTTTTCGTCCTCATTTTTATAATTGATTATGCTCTTCAAATAGTTTTACCCATCTTTCCGCTATATCATTTACAACTCGAAGTTTACAACACACAGTCGCCCTTGAAAAAATATAAATAAGAAATAATTTATTGCGTAGACAAAGGCCATATTAATATTATGATTATTATTATTATTATTGTTGGTATTAATATTATTACGAGTTCATTGGATAAGTACCAAAGATGATGTTTCAGAGTATCTCTAGCAACCTCGCTTTTCCCAATCTCCTCATAGCGTTCTAAATCTTTCCAAAAAGTAAGGTCGGACATAGTAGCTTTAGTGGCACACGGTGCCTTGATCCAGATTTCACCAAAACGACCAAAGCCAACTCGATCAGTTCCAAGTAGTCGTCATAACGTTGAGACTTTTGTTTCAATGCAGCTAGCAACAAGGGGATTGTGGAGTTTTTGTAAAATTCAAAATTCTTCGACGATTCTAGGTCTGAGGACTTGAAGCAGATACGATCAATAGGTACGCAAATTATTTTAAATCGATTAAAAATTGGAATATCCGGAAAGCAGTACAACTTGAAAACGTCACTAAGAATTATTTTCAAAACATGATGACTGCAGACTAACCAAAGTAAGTATCTCCCAATTTTTTCTCAAGCAAAACGCAGCATCCATTCTTCATTCCAGTATTTACAGATGTGTCAAAACACATTGCTTATACTTTATCCACCAGATTCCATTCTCGAAGTACGTTTCCGACTTCATTTGCTGTACTCCTAATAACTTTTCTATTCCATCTGCTGAAACTACTACTGGTAAACGTTCTACTTTAGTTAAGCAGTGGTAATCAGGAAGAATTTTACCATTCCAATAAACAAAAACTAAACCTTGACAAGAAAAACTTTGTTTCATATCTTTTCTTCCTTTCATGTTTTCGTCTCCGGTAAATAGTGCTGCGAGACGGCATTTCATGCGGATCTTTTCCCAGTGCTGTCGCAATCTGTACTATAAGCCTTAGAACTTCACGCTCTGAGACATTTTCCCTATCCAAAGCACTTATGACATTTAAACTGTAAAGAGTAGTTTTTAGTTTCTTAGGGAAAGGTGCGGGATTAGCTGATTGAACTAGTGTGTAAGAAATATATGTTTAGGTAAATACTATTCTTTGGTAATTGTAACATTAATATATAGGGCATAACATTTTATCTAACCAGTGAAAAGATGGCGTAATGGTTTTTTTAAATAAACTGCGCACCACTCAATGTGTCGCGACCAAAAAGTTCGTCGTTTTTCAAAACGACATAACTTTTTTGTTTCTTGAACGATTTTATTTTGGTCTGTGATGTCTGCTAACCCCATCCTCTGGCAATTCATGCTATAGATATTAAGCATACGGTTCTTCAAGTAAATTTCCTACAGGGTGATATGTTAAACGGTGAAAAATTTCAATAATTTCATCCAAGCCCCGTTTGTAAAACAATAATTTTTTTTTCGTTTTTACTTTGAAATAATGAAGTATTATGTGTTACCTTGAAACTGGAATCTTAGCAACGAAAATATGATTTTTTTTCAAAAGAGTACATTTAAGGCTTTTTGGTAGGCAATATATTCAGTCTTTTTAAGAACAAGAAAATAAGATGGTAAAAGATTGTTCCTTGAATAATTCTGAACAAGCGACAAGCAAGAAACTTCCATTATTTTCAGAGGGGCCTAAGCAAAGATCACTTTTTCAAAATGACATTTTGGTGAAAATTTGCGAAAACTAAACCTGAACCGATATTTACGTTCGTGACATGTTTTCTTTATAATTTTGACCTCCTGATTGTGATTCAGTTGTCAAATTTAAGTTTTAGATAAAACCAAAATCATCAAGAATCAAAATTCGAAAACAATTTCCTGTTGCTGTCGTGTTTCTTGCATATTTATAATGAAAATGCCATTTGGGGATTCATTTTTTGGGCGAAATTACTGCAATTTGTTTGAGTGGTTAGGATAATGTTACATAACTTACATTTACATTGCGCAGTAGTGATTACATCATTGATAAGTACCTACCTAATTTATAATAAAGTTAAATAAAAATATTTTTGTTCATTTTTGAAAATTGTATACGTAGATATACTCATAATCAAAACTTCAACATTCAACAGAAAAATGTAACAAACAATAACAATAATACCAATAACAATAATACCTTTCAATATTCTAATATTGTAATAATTCGTTAACCCTCCTGGGCATTCCCTCGACCAAGTTCCTTAGAAATTTCTGAGATACCCCATTCTTCCTGAATAGCATTTACCAATTCATCTAAATTTTCCATGCCTCCTCCCCTCTCTTTCATCTTCAATTTTATCCTACTCCACACATGCTCAATAGGATTCATATCCGGAGACAAAGGTGGCCAATTCATTTTCTCAATATGGTGGTCCCTTAAATACTCATTTACGATATGTAAAAAACAGTAAAAACCAGCAATCGGATTTTATTGACACATTTAACAGCCGGGAATTGTTTTCGAATCTTGATTCTTAGTGATTTTTGTTTTATCTGAAACTTAAATTTGACAACTGAATCACAATCAGGAGATCAAAATTATGAATAAAACATTTTACAAAAGTAAATATCGGTTTAGATTTAGTTTTTGAAAACTTTCACAAAAATGTCATTTTCAAAAAGTGGTCTTAGCTTAGGCCCTCTGAAAATAATGGAAGTTGTTGCTTGTTCAGAATTATTTAGGGAACAATCTTTCACCCTCTTATCTTCTTGTTCCTAAAAAGACTGAGTATATTGCCTTAAAAAAAGCCTTATTTGTACTCTTTTGGAAAAAAAATCATATTTTCGTTGCTAAGATTCCAATTCGAAAAATTTGAAAAACGTTTCAAGGTAACACATAATACTTCATTATTTCAAAGTAAAAACGAAAAAAAAATTATTTTTTTACAAACGGGGCTTGGATAAAGTTATTGAAATTTTTCACCGTTTAACATATCACCCTGTAGGAAGTTTACTTGACCAACCGTGAGCTTCATATTTATAGCATAAATTGCCAGAGGATGAGGCTAGCAGACATCACAAACCAAAATTAAATCGTTCAAGAAACAAAAAAGTTATGTCGTTTTGAAAAAGAACGAACTTTTTGGTCGCGACACATTGAGTGGTGCGCAGTTTAAATTAAAAAAAACTGAAATCTCTTAGCTAATGAGCACTCCCTTCTAATACACCTAGGGGCCTAAAATTTTGGGAATTTTTTATTGATGTTGGAGGTAAAAAAATTGGGGGGTGAGACAATCTGTAAAATCAACTTTACTTTTTTGGACCACCCTAATATATATATATATATATATATATATATATATATATATATATTAATTGTATGCTACGACACCCACATAACCGATGTACAATCAAACACCCACACTTAAATACGTATAAAATAGAAGGATCACATGTTGCTGTATTAGCACCCATGTAAATCTTGTCTATGAGGCACCAAAATGTATGAACTTGTGATATTGCGTGTCAAACTGACACCCTACAGCGTTGCCAAGATATTTCACTGTTTTATACGTATAAAACAATATTGTCAAAATGGCACCCCCCTTAATATTGGTCCTAATGACACCAATATGTATGAACTTGTGATATAACAGGTCAAAGTGACACCTTTAAACATAACATATTTTTGGAAAATAACGGTTTTATACATATGACACGAAATTGTCAAAATGGCACCCTCGTTAATCGTGGTCCGAATGACACCAATATCTATGACAGGTCAAAGTTATTCTTACACGAAATATTCCTTTCTTTCTTTTTAAATCTGACACCAATATCTATGACAGGTCAAAGTTTTTCTTACACGAAATATTCCTTTCTTTCTTTTTAAATCTGCAATTTAAGCCAAAAAAAACCTGAATGCACGTAGTACACGAACGCGCTTATTGTGGATATATGGGCCACTAAATAAAAATATGTTTTAAGTACTCTTAGTTTAATAACATAAACATGTTAAAAAATAATGCAAAAACACATACCTACGTAATTAAAGAAGGTACATTAATAAAAAAGTACTAAATAATTACAAAAATTATGTAAATAATAATTAAAATAATACTTAAAATTACGGTAAATATTATATTTTATTCCCAAATTTAACAAATGGGTCGGTAGTATTTTTTTATTTGCGTACATTAAAAACATATTTTTTTTAAACATTCAGATTCAACATCTAAAAATGTACTTTCAATTACTGTTACCTTTCATTGAACAATTTTAAATTGTGGGTTTACACCCTAAAAGTCAAAATACACCCCTGTTATTTAATTAGCGGATTACTAACATAACACATAATAATTTTAAATTGTTTGTTGCTGTTGCATGTAAACCAAATTAAAATTTTAAAAATTAATAACACGCAAAAAAATAAAAATTAAAAATTAAATTATAAAATCTAATTAAATTGTTTTGTTGCGATATTTTATTTATACCTACTTACCTGCCAATTCCCATGTAAAAAGTGTAAAGATTTGTCAAATTTTAGATTAATTAAAAGAGCCCCACTCTTTTTGGCATTGCAAATTATAAAGTGATACGTTTAAAACGTATGTATACATATAATATTATATGTATACATTGCGCGTCAAAATTAACGCATAATAAGTAAAAAATGTCTTAACTCTAAAACGCCTTTACTAATCTTTATGAATTTAAAAAAAAATACTTTATGTTTATGTTATACCTGTTATATATGTTCGAGGGTTTTCGAAAAAATATGTTTTAAGTCCTTTTATTTAATAATAAAAAAACGTTTGAAAAATAACTTTTAGGGATTTTTTTAAGTAAATAAGAAATATGCTGTTAAAGACCGTATTTCTATTAGTATACCCTGAAAATTTTGTACAAATCAAACGAACATTAACGAAGATACAGTGCTTCAAAGTCGTTAAAAATGACCCCTTTTTGATTATTTTGCTGAAAAGTGGTCATTTTTGATGACTTTGAAGCGCTGTATTTTCGTTACTATTCGTTTGATTTGTACAACATTTTTAGGTATACTTACAAAATAATGTATTTCACAGCATATTTTTTATTTACTTAAAAAAATTCCCTATAAAAGTTTTTTTCGAGCGTTTTTTATTATTAAATTAAAGGGCTTTAAGGATATTTTCTCAAAAAACCCTTGAACACGTAAACTGAGATATAAGTTAAAGTATTTTTATCCAAAATTTTATAAAGATTGGTGAAGGCGTTTTAGAGTTAGAATTTTTTTACTTATTATTATGCGCGCAGTGTATTTATCAAATACAGGGTGTTTCAATCTAAAGTTTCCACACCGGTTTTTCACACGTCAATTTTTTATTTAGGGACAACAATTTATTTTAATTTTTTAACCCTACAACCTTAACGTCTAAGCGGCAAAAAGACCTATCAAACTATCATCCCCACCTAGAAATCCAGATTGAGGGGTGTAAATATTTAAAAAAATGGTCCCCTTGAATAAAAAACGTGTGCGAACGTTTTTTTGTATTTTTAACACCTTATAAATAAATAAAATTATTTTCTACATAATGGTTTAGAACATTAACTGACAATTACTCCATTAAAAAAACAGGTGACCAGCGTTTGCAGACAACTTCAGATAATTAAACAATAGCTCGTGCAATGCCGAATCAAACACGAAATAAACCCAAACCGACCGACCGAAACTATTAGCGCAAAAGTTTTAAACTTTTAAATCTACAATAGTAGCTCAGCCCTTTTAAACATTTAACTATTAATAATAATAATAATATTAATAATAATAAACCGATTGTAAAAATGCCCTTTTTGTTTTTAAATATTTTTTTTCAGGTTTTAAAGATATTTTATTTAACTATCTATGTTTTATCGTAAGTAATATCATAAGGGCATCTAATTTTTCCGAAAAAAAAATCGAAAAAACACGTTGCTAAATAATATTTTAACAAGAA